TGTCTGTGCCGTAGTCCTGTTTTCATTAAACATAATTCATGACATATTTATTTCACAGATCATTCACTTGATTATTGTCGATCAACATCTGTTTTGCTTAATAATTTTAATCACAAATAAAGTACTTTGATTAAGTAAAGTTTCTTGTTCTCCTTCGGACTCTTCTCCTGGAATGTAAACAGTCTGAGGAACCCCCGACCTTGGTTTTTCTACACGGGTGTTATTGTGCACAGGGGGCAGCTGTATGGAGTTGAAAACAGTGAACTTCATAACCTTACATATCCCCCCTTTTCAAGGTCAATGTGGTCCTTCAAGAGACCACTTGGTCGTTGAACAAACCCAAGTTATGAAGAATCTTGACAACAGAACCGGATGCGATCCCAAGGGAACAGCCATCTGTGGTGAGGTACGAACCCCACGCCGGAGAACAGTCTTGCATACTCCTCAGGAAGAACACAAGTCAGCAGGTTATTAATTATTCCCCATGGAAGCCATAAACGAAGCAACAGCAACTTCATATCCCCACGGGCAATAAAGCAAAGCAGGAGCAAATCTTGAACGTATCCACGAACAGGGTAGTATTCCAAGCAAAAATCGATTGTTGTATCCGCTGGCAGGGTAATATGCCAAATAAAAAATTGAACTTTGAAAGAGTACTTATCGTAATCCACAAAAAGGGAAGAGCAGTTGACAGTAATCCCAACGAATGAGGTGTCCCAGCAGCCATGCCGGAACCACAGTCGACCAAGGCCAACGAGCCGGAGCACCACCCAGGAGTAGTCGATGCAGATGACGAGTCACGGATCCACCCATAGGAAGCAGGATCCTCACAAGCTCAGCAGAGGAGAGAGAGCACAGTGTAGGCACTTCAATGTAGACACGACAAAAGTGCATTTCATGTCATCAAAGAAATAAAAATAATAAAAACCTAACTCTGAGTGCCTTTTGTACTATGTGTTAGTTTTAAGTGTAATTACCCATTAAGTGAAGAAATGGATGCAGCCCTGACTGTGTAAGATGCAAAAAGGAATGATGCGAGAAGCAGAAAAATGAAAGAAACCCTAACTGGTATCAGTGAATCCTCACTGTAAATACTTGTGGCAGGACAGGGGCAAAATGGGTTATAGCCCCGTAGGATAAATCAAAGAATTGACAATCACGAACAGAATTTTCACTGTAAAAATCAACTGGTCAAAGGTACTATAAAAAACAGAAATGTAAATCAGTACTAAAATGTAAGTCAGTGGTTAGTAATCATGTTCATGTTAATGTACCCCTAAGGAATTGTGATTAGTAAAGATTAAAAAAAAAAACAAAAATTTGGACAACAGTACTATGTGGCCTAACCCACTCACTGTTACCTGGCCTGTTACCTGACTCGAGGAGCCCAGAGCACGTCCGTCTCAACACACCTTAAGTCTGCACGTGACGTATAACAGGAAAGACAACCATGTACACTCACAAACAGACAAATTTGTGTAATCAGAGATAGAAATCTGTGGAACCAACGGGACGTATTTATCACCCCCCTTTTGAAGTCGGTGGATCGTTGTTGTTGGTATCGGCCAAATCTGTGGGACCCTTGTGCAGTTTGATATGGTCCCTGTATATGTTTTATATAGTAAAATCAGAAGTAAGATTTCACATAACTCTAACCGCACCTTGTGAAACATCTTATCTACCACTTTATTAACTCTGAACCGCTTAAATAACCTTAATTCCCTCCAGCCTGACACAGCCAATCAAAACAACGGAAGTTTCGATTTCGTCATGGAACAGAACGCGTAGACGGCTTTGCTGCTGGCTGCTGCCGCGGATCGCCTCTCGTGTGTCAGGTAATAAAAGCGACAGCGACACATTTCGCTGATCGCGGTCGTTTGTCGCCTCCCGTGTGTCGAGCCCATAACGCTGTATGAAAGCTAAGCCAATATTTCTGTAGACCCAAAGCCACACACACACATTTTCATTGCAAAATGTTAATGTAAAAGGTAGCACTCAGTATGTAAATATAAAAAAACTATAAGTACAGAAAACTTATTTAAACATAGCCCAGCATTTTCCTTTTCACCTCCTTTAAATGTTTTTATTAGTTATTGGTATGATTGACTCCATTTTCTTGCTGATTTTTAAGCAGTTTTTCATTTATTTTCAGGGGTGTTCAGCCTGAAGTGTATTTTGAGATATCAAAGTGTATTAATCTCCTTCAATGTTGTATTTCTTGAGGAGCAGTAGGGGGGAGCAGTCATGATATGTCTTGTTTTGTGTGTGGAGCTCAAAGGTGTGTCTCAAATACAGAGAGGAGAACCAGTTTGTGACTTTGCCCCGGGATGGTACATAGCCAAAGGCAGGATTGTGTTTATGTGTATACATACAATTAAGGGAGCAAAAAAGAGGAATGAATGATAACCCAACATGGCTGGAAGTCAGTGCTTTACACCAAGAGGCAATCTGTGACTTTGAATCCGTGTGTGTATGTATGTGAGTATTAGTCGCAAGCATTGGCCATCAAACCACAGATGACCTTCTGTTGTCTGCCAGGGCAATGCTCTCACTATGGCAACAGACATTGAAGCTGAGGTGATGAGGGCTCAAAGCTGTATCCATGACACTTCTGTTACTGAGAGGCCCCAGCATTAGCCTTAAGTAAGCTAGCCGTGATCGTCTCTTTGTTTCCTTTGATAATCTCCACTCCATATCAGGAATGTTCTTTGGAACATCTAATCTCATCTTACATTTATATTTGCTTTTCCTTTTACCCCTTCTCCCACAACTTTTACTTGTAATTGTATTTGAATTGCTTGACAACACAATTCTTAAGTCTCTTTGTGCCTGCATGTATGCATGTTAGGCAAAGTGTCAGGTTAATGACCAGCCTTGCTTTGACCTCCTCGAAGGTTATGTGCCAGTGCTAATTAGCAGTGTCACCATGGTGATATGTCAGCTGCCAGCACAATGGATAGGGAGCTGGCAAACAGGACAGAAGACTGGCAAGAAGAGGCATAAGAGGAAGGGGAGGAATGAGTTAATTTAAATGATTCTCATCAGAAGGCCTATGCCAGGCCACATTAACAAGATACAAATAAGTGGCAAGGTTGTTGCATGTCGGGAGCCTCCGGTTTTTGGTGTGTGCGTGTGTATCCCACACAAGGCTTGACTTTCGGACATAGGGGAGGTGTTATTGACCCCCTTGTCATGTTGGTTACCCCCAAGGAAACTACCCGTTTGCCCAACCATCCGAGAGGACGGGACAAAACAATCTGACAGGCTCAGTTGTGTGTTGTTGTTATTTGCCAAGTATCAGTGGCTTTGGTTTGCCACTGTTCTGCCTCCATGGAAGATTTAACAGCTTACTTCAGAATGAATAAATTAACTTGGAAATTGAATCGTTCCTTTTTAATATACAATCTATGTGGTTGGCCAATCTTGTACACTAATATTACTCTCAGGTCTGCAGAACACAGTCTGTTGGGTTTTCCTCAATAAAATAAAACCAAGAAGAAGGCGTGCTTTTTTCAGACTTTGCTCTGATTCTGAACCCCTGAAAAGTTCAGAAAACGGGCCCATATGCTCAATGTTTTAAGTGCTGGTTAAAAACTAATTTTTATTCCCTAGCCTTCATGCACAGAGAAAAGTGACAGCTGTTATTTTATTTAATGCTCTTATTGTTCTTGCTTTCATTTGGCCTTACTTTTTACCCATTTGTTAATTCATATGGTTGTGTGAAAGTGGTTTATAAATAAAGTTGATGATCAATAAGTTGAACATTTAGTAAATATCTAAGCAACAAAAAAAGTTCAAAAATATTGAATTGACACAATATTCAATATTGGCTGAATTTGACTTTTGAACCTTTATTTATTGATGATTAAAAGACCACAAGGGTGATTTGTTAATTCGCCTTGCCATTGACAAAAAGTGAATTGAAAACAAATAATGCTAAAAAGTTAATTTAACAAAAATTTTTTAAAAAGTATATAAAAAATATATATATATTGTTACTATTATACAAAGATGACGTCATCACTTCTCTCTCAATATAAGCAGGTATGGAAGAAAATCGGGAGTTAAAAATAATTAATAAAAAAATATGTATATTCAGATATATATTCTTTTTTTTCATTAAATAAAAAAAATAGATTCAAAAAATGATTTTATTTACTCCCTATTTGCTCCCTATTTACTTCCATACCTGCCTACATTGGGAGAGGTGTGTGGACATTATTTTTGTGTAATAATATAGTTTATGTATATATGACTTTTTTTTATTTAATTTTACCCTACGCCTTTCTATTGTTAATATATTATCTGTATTATTTGTGAGTTGCAGTGCTTGTTACAGTTTTTAAAATGTACATATAGCAGTGTATGGTGGCGGTCTCTAGATGGCAGTAGTGCTTCATAAATACCACTGGAGTGGTTTGTGGTCCCTGTCATGTCCAAAAGCAACCACACACAAATTAATCATAACACTTTTTATTAAAGTGCCAGTCATTTCAGTGTGAACAGATTGATGTTCTTTAAACTACTCGAGCAGAAAGCGGGAAGGAGCCAAAGGTGTGACCTGTTCTGAGAGCAAATGATCTCAATCAGTCATCTGAAACGCCAAGTGACCTGTTCTGAACATATCAAGTATATTGTACGTAGTTATGTAAGCCATGTGGTTCTTTACGCACCTGGAGTGTCAGAAGGCCTGTAGCCATTTACAAGATTGTAATTGTGTTGTTACTTTGATAGTCATGAGGCTATTTTAGACACATCAGTCAGAAGTACAAAAGGGAAACTCAAGTGAGATGTGGAACCAGTTTGAGAAGTTGTTGCTTGGCAGTCAAAGTTCAGCATTGTGTCTGTAAAGCAGAAATACTTTCTAAATCTTTTTATGAACTTTATTCTCCCCATTTTTTGATCTATTCATCACCTTGAAACCTGACTAGATAAATTGCCTTTTGTTTCATGGTACTTTTTCTTCATTCTTCTTCTCCTGATCCCTTACTTTCCTTCAGCATAACCAATGAGGCAGGGGCATCCATCTACAGTGTGAGTCCAGAGGCGGTGAAAGAGATGCCTGACTTGGATCCAAACCTTAGAAGTGCAGGTATGTGGAGTAGTCAGGCAGGATGTGTTTTTATTTAGAGGATTAAACACTTCATTACCTGCTGTTTCTGTTTATTCTGTTAATGGGCAAAGTTGCTCATCATGTGAGCATGAAGGATTGTAATTTGTATTATATCTGGTGCTAGATTTATTGTTGTTTATGGTGATTATTTTATAATTAGGTGGGATGCACAACAAAAACCATAAATCATTTGGGTGACTTACATGCTTCTGGAGATCTTTCAAATTACTGCAGTATGTAATACGTTCTAACCAAAAAAATTATTTCAGCTTCTTTTTTTTATGAATTTCTCGATTTTAAAAAAGCCCATCAAGTTGTTTTTAATTTTAAATTGCTAAGTTTTTCTTAGAATTTTACGATGAATTATTCATTGGAAAGCACCTCATGTTGAATAAAATCTCACTGTTCTTTCTACTTAGTAGAATCAAGAAATATATTCACATTTTCAAAAGTTAAAATGTTTACACTTCACCTCAAGACATCGACACGCTGCACTTTTAACTAATTATTGTAGAAATTTAAAAGTAAGCCCCATTAATGGCTCAAGACTACTAGTGACAGATTTGTGACTGCCATAAATCTGACATTTTGAGACATTTAGGATAAACAGTGTGACTGCTGCAACATCTTAAATCGGTTATCTGTCAAAAGGCATTTAGCTTAGAATGTTGTGTTGATTTACACAACATTGGTGTCTTTGTGTAACAAACTTAACAAACCTTGGCAGTGGAAGCAATTGAGCAAAGTGAAATAAAACAAATAAACTATTTATTTTCTGTCAGCACATACAATCTTTGTTTGTTCACAATTGTTTATTTTAGCGTTTGGTAGCTGTGTGGCTGCAGCTAAAATGAATGTGTTACCATTTTCGCCCTTACTGAATAAGTCTGAAATCAACGCAAACTTAAAGCAACAGCTGTATTTGAAATATTTAGAAGTCAGGATTATTCTGTCTGTTTTGAATGGCACAGACATGGCGCAAACAGCGATCCATTAGCAGAAAAGAAAAACATGATGGAACTTTTTATTTTTAAATTATTTTTACCAACTTTTATTTCATTTAAAAACATAGTAACTTTACAAAATAGTAAAAAAAGAATGAATACAACTTACAATAATTAAGTGAAAAGGAGCAGATAGAAGAAAATCTTATATGTAATCTGCCCCATTCACACCATTAGCAAAAAATTAAAATATGCTCATGAAGAAAGATTACTAAGACAGCTGCCAAGCAGCTTGCCACTAATTAACTAACAATCCTTGAATGGAGTTTCAACACATTAGTTAGAAATCATTGCTGATCAATATAGAAAATACACAATTAAAATAGAAAATACACCCAAGATTATTCCATATAATTTCTTAACATAGTTTTTTACATTTTGTTTAAACATTATAATTGATCTGGCCTCTTTCATTATGTATTCCAGACTGTTCCATATCCCGACTCCATTTACAGAAACACAGCGCTCCAACTTTTTAGTCCTAAATCTAGGTTTTATAAATGTCTCGTACCCTTTGAAATTGTAGCAACTTTGTCTTCTTTCAAATTTAATTTGAATATTTGTTGGTAATGGTTTTTTGTGAGCTTCATACATCAATTTAAAAATGTTATGATCCACTAAATCTGGAAACTTTAATACTCTCAACTCAGCAAATAATGGACCGGACGGTGCTCTATAACTCCTCTGAGTAATGATTCTTATGGCTCTTTTTCATAGTAACAAAAGTGATTGTGTATGAGTTGATGAGCAACAGATTAAAATTAAGTTTGACGGAAAGTAAAACCGGGCTGCGCAGTGGTTAGAGCTGTTGCCTTGCAGCGAGAAGGTCCTGGGTTCGCTTCCCAGCCTGGGATCTTTCTGTTTGCATGTTCTCCCTGTGCATGCGTGGGTTCTCTCTGGATACTCCGGCTTCCTCCCACAGTCCAAAAACATGACTGTTAGGTTAATTGGTCTGTCTAGACCAGGGGTGTCAAAATGCGGCCCGCGGGCCGAATCCGGCCCGCAAGCGGGATAAATCCGGCCCGCGAGATGGTTGTGTAAACTTTATTTTCATACTTTACAATGAAGAGTGAAAATAAACATATCTTTGGAAGCAAGTTTTCTGTAATGAGTATAAATAAAACAAAGCTGTGCTCAAGGCTCACACAAGAACTTGAATCACATCCTGAAGTTGGCCGCCACTCAGGATGTGACTTCTGATATTGATGTGCTGGTGAAAGCTAAAAGATGTAAAGTAAAATGAGTCAAATATACTTTAAGTGCTGCATGAAACTGATCTAGCCATGTGATCTGTAAGCTCTGAATCACTAAGGAATGTTTTTTTTTTATTTATTGATTTTTTATTTTTATTTTTTCAAATTTTCAAGTACACTTCAGGTGTTGTACTTGTACTATTTTGGATACACTGTCCTCAGGCTCCAGCCTTGTTTTATATTGATTGTATTAAAACAAAGAAAACAATCTGAAGTTGTTTTTAATTTACCGGTCCGGCCCACTTGGGACTAGATTTCCCTCAATGTGGCCCCTGAGCTAAAATGAGTTTGACACCCCTGGTCTAGACTGTCCTTAAGTGTGAGTGTGTGTGTGCATGATTGTTTGTCCTGTGTGTCTCTGTGTTGCCCTGCGATGGACTGGCTCTCTGTCCAGGGTGTACTCCGCCTGATTGCCCGTTGACCGCTAGAGATAGGCACCAGTCCCCCTGCAACCCTGCGTGGACAAAGCGGGTTCAGACAATGGATGGATGGATGGAAAGTAATACCAACAGAAATGTACAGGAAGTGATTGTTCAAAATAAGACAGGACGTTATTAGAATTCAGAGCAATCAGACCACAGGGTTTCCCCCAGCGCTTTATAAGCCTGGAGGGCTGCGCGGCCATGCCTCCCCCCCCCCACCGCCTGCTGTTACGGACGACGCACAGTAGCAAAACGATCCATGCGCACCCCTTCCCCTCACGGAAGACACATTGAAGAAAAATGAACCACATGCACCCTCTACACACGCACATTCTCGCGCCTTCCGCTGGGCGATTCCTGGGGGAAATCCTGAAGCCAGGTGATTTTGCTGCAATGGTAACGCAACTTAAAATGATTTAAGTGACTGTCGTGATTATTTTTAAGAAATTAAATTCTCAAAAGTTAAACTTCTTTTGTTGTTTGACTAATCATTAGGGCTGTGAATCTTACACCACTCACGATTCGATTCCGGTTCTCACGGCGATGCTTCGATTCAGAATTGATTCTCAGTTCAAATTGAGTCACAGTGAACTAGAGTGTGGACTAGAATGCGTGCGTGCGTCCATGCAGGGTCTGATTAAGCGGAAAAGGAAAAAAGAATAAAATGTGTCAATATATATGAAACATTTTAACCTAATTAACAAGATGAATAACATCCAGTAGCACCTATTCACATAAACCACAGACTAACGCCTCCTTCACACTGGAGGCATCAGCGGTGCGGAACAGCTTACTCGCGTGAGTCTCATAGTCTCAGCCCAGGAGCAGCTTCCCCGCTGATGCTGGTGTCGTTGTTAGATCTCATGTATTGACCGATTCTACATAGATGTGAAATTCCATCGATTTTCACGTTAACTGCGAACAGTGGCTTGTGGCTAAAATAGAACCCAATGCTATCTTTAGCGGCGTCGCGCAGCGTGCTGTCGACAATTTCCACGCCGAGGCTGGTTTGGATCAACCCATAAACTATAATGGATTCTATTTGAAGAAGCCACTTTCCACTGCCATTCTGCACTGCTGATACCTTCAGTGTGAAGTCGACTTGATGGGCTCTAATTAGTTTAAACAAGTGTCAGTTGTGCATGGTGCAGTTGGCATGAAACAAACTAAACAGGATAAACATGCATTATAAATCTCAGTGGAGCCCCCTTCCTGACTCATAGGATGCACACAGGATAATTAGAAAGGCAAGTCTTTGCTGTTTTTCTCAAGATTGCAACATAGGAGCGTACAGAGCGGAGCAGCTGCAGCTAGGGTGGCCTCCAGTGATGATGTGCTCAGGGATGCACGGAAATATGGTTGTTAAAGGTTTTCGGACGGGATTAATTTAGAATCTATGAAGTGATTTTGAATCTTTATGAATAAGAATTGCCATTTGGATGTGAATAGTTTTTTTCGGCACCTCTACTAAACATTTTCAATTTTCAATAAAAAATTGATCAACAATCAATTTTACTCCTCACTGACCAAAATGCCAAACGTTCCAGAATAAGTCCTAACAGATGATTTTAAAGAGGCTTGTCATCTCCACTGCTCACCAGCTCATTAAACTTGTAATAAACACTGCAGAGTTATGCTACTTTCCATTAACAAAAACGACTCCATTTAGAGAGAATTGGGTGGAGAGCAGAAGAGACAGGGTTGATGGAAAGAGTTTTTGGAGAGTTCTGGTGGTGTACTGAGCAAGGTTAGGGCTGAAACTTCATCCCTGTCTAAATATTATCTCAGGCAGCAACCTCCTGCTGCAGCCAGAAGAGAGAGAAGAGTCATTGATTCCAGATATACTCCCTCTGCTACGTGCCATCCTTTACTTTCTTTGTCTTTGCCACAGAGAGATAAATCTGACATCTATCGGACTGAATAACAGACGATGAGTTCTGACATTCAAACTTCGACTTAGTACACGCATTCAAGTCACTGAAGTATGACAGTATGACAAAAAACACCATTGGGGCAAATTATTTCCATTGAAAACCCAAATTGTGGTTTTTATTACTTGATAGAACAAAAATAATGAAGTCAACTCAACACCTCAGTTTTGGTCATTTGTTTTTCTGATAAACATGTTTGATAGACATGTTTGATAGACATGCTTGTTTCAGCAATGTTTTGTTTTGGCTGTTTTTCTCTGCCTTATCTAGTAATCATGAAAAATCCCGTTTTATTGTCGTTTGCATACTAATCCTAGAAAACCTTCCTGTTTGTGGTCTTGCAGGCTGCATCTGTATTTGTGTGCTACAGTTTGATCTGTGCGCTTGTGGGTAAAGAACTGGATAAATTAGTGGTTTTAAGGTTTACGGTTCCACTTTCTGACAGGAAGTTAAATTACAAGTGCAGAGGCTGGTGTTAAATGGCAGATTTAATTAAATATTATTGGGGGTGTATGGATGGTAATTAAGCTCAGTCTGCCCTCGGGACAGCTCTATGTTTATTCTGATAATTTGCACATCCAGTAATTATTAAAAAAGACACTGTTTTGCATATTCAATAAAAAAGCCATGTTGCAACTTCATGAAGAGCACAAAAGAGAAAATCTCATGGGATTCAAATTTTCATAATTGTTTTATGTTTGTGTGCACAAATCACAGTGTCTATTGGAAGACGTGTCCAAGATCCACTGGCTGAGCTTGTGAAGATTGATCCGAAACACATTGGGATTGGAACATATCAAGTAACTATATATTTATTTTGTAAAATTTGTTTGTATTATTAACTTTTTGAATAAATTTGCTCCAAATATGCAAATGCATTATTTTCTTAGAATATCTTTTATTTGATTTCTTTGTTCTTTTTTTACACAGTTTAGTAAAAAAAAAAAGAACAAAGAAAGGGATTATGAAGAAGAACACCGAACAAACGTGCAAAAGAGTATCTTTTAATTATAAATATTTAACATAAATGTCGATTGTTGTGATGAGAGACGTTTGCAATAACCAGAACATTTTTGGTTTTGCTTCATATACATGTTTAGTTGGTTTATTTACCTAGATTTTTTTTCCAGTGTTAATTTATTCAGATGCGTTTCAGGGTGTGTAAATGGGGCTGATGTGCAAGTGGTTTCTTAAGCAGCACCAGTTTAGTCATTAAAGAATCCACTATGAAACAAAACAAAACATTAAGGGAATTAAAGTATCTTTCTGGAGTTTTCCCCTTTCAGAAATTATCTATGATTTGTCAGAAATCCGTAAAAGTTCATCTTATCATGTACATCATCTCATCATGTGATATAATGTAAGCAATACATCCAGAAAGAGACTTTAACTTTTAACGTATTTTGGTTGTATTCTGTTATTATGGGGATGAGAACAGCCAAGACTTGAGCATATGTGGTGCTGATTTTAGCTAGCCTAGAATGTAGACCGCCAAGCGCCGATGCAAAATTGACGGTCTAGCAACGCTCCATTGGAACCTCGCAACTCCAGCCAGTATGTGGCTGGCCAAACACATAGCGTTTATTTAGGGAAAACCATGTATTATTTTATGTTTTTTTCATGTTTTATATAGTTATTCCACAATGTAAAGGCGGACTGCCCCGTGGACTGACATCCGTAGCGGTCCAGTCACAGCGCATAATTGGTTTGATGGGCCAGTCACTGCACTCTGTTGGTGGGTGGAATGTTACTGATACATCGATGACGACGGCTCGTTTGAAATGGCTTTGGCATCACCTTTGGACTATTTAAACTTGGGCTTGTCTTTCACTCAAGAGCAGAGGTGCTTCAATGTATGAAAAAAGGTGTATTTGCATCTTCTTTGGCTGCCTCGTTGACTCACATCAGTAGCGGTGAGTACGTCATGTTGTTTGTTGTCCAATAGCATGCAGAGACAGTCCCGCCCCACAACTGAGAGTCCTCAATGGACCGTGGACAGACTACATGTTCACATGTATTGGATGACAAGATTTTAGCAAGTTATGCATGAAACCTTTAATCGCATGTTTTTACCGAAATTAGGGTTTAGGGTTTTGTCCAGTTTGATCATTTATGTTGATATGAAAATAAGCTTGTGTAGCTTTTCCATGTCTATAATAATGTTTTTATTATTATTATTATTATTATTATTATTATACAAGTCTACACACACATAAAATCAGTAAAAAAGTTGAGCAGAGGTTGTAAAGCTGTGTACCTTTCTCAGATATACAGTTAAATTGGCTGAAATCCTGTTCTTGAAGGATGTGAAGCTCATTTAATGATTGAGCTGTGATGTGAGAGAGGAGCTGATGCAATGTGAAGCTGAGTGAAAACAAGGTGGATTCATGGGAAATCCAACTTCACAAGTTATCTATTTAGTACCTGTGCTTTTGTTTGACAAAATTGTTATTTAATGATCAATTAGCAGATTAAGAATATTTCAGTTGTGTAAAAAGCATCAGTTTTATTGGAGCCAGAGAGAATCCAGTTAACAGAACAACTGGCATGTGGCGTTTGTATAGTATTGGTTTCATTCATTTGTATGCAGTAGTATGTCATCATGCTCTATAGTAAATATATGGTTAATATCAACTGCTGCAACAATATTAATCAAATACTGGCTGGTCAATATTATGTTTTATGTTTATTTATTTGGCAGACGCTTTTATCCAAAGCGACTTACAATTTATAACCTGTAGGGCATGTTGTGATCTCTGGGGGAAACCAGAGTACCCAGAGGAAACCCACGCATGGCTGGGGAGAACACGCAACTCCACACAGAAAGGCCGCAGCCGAGTTTCGAACCTGCAACCTTCGTGCTGCGAGGCAACAGTGCTGACAACTGCGCCACCATGCAGCCCCAATATTAGTTTATTTATTTGGCCAACACACTTTCTTTGGTCTAAAAAAGTTTAAAGAGCAAGTCACCCCTTACAAGAAGCGTACTTCACTCCCACCTCATGTTTGAAAAATGCAACAAATGCTGTTGCCTAGCAGACCGAGAGGGTGGAGCCACTAACAAATACACACACTCACGACATTGTGACATCATAATGTACCAGTTTACATCATAGCATACCTCTTAGCCAATAGCGGTGGTAGATTTAAATTCAAATGCAGTGAAGAGTTTTTACCTGACAACGGCACAACACTGACAGTTTCAGGCAGAAAATTTAAATTTTAACTAAAATGCACAAAAGTGCTAAACTATTGACTACACGTGTCTGCAGCACGATTAGACACGCATTTATATAGTTTATCAGAAAAAAATAGTTGATTTGGGGGTGAATTGCTCTTTAAGTTTTTTTAGTAGGAAAGAAAAGGAGAACAAAGCAGTTGCAGGTGTTAATATAATAATAATAATAATAATAATAATAATAATAATAATAATAATTATTATTATTATTATTATTATTATTATTGTTGTTGTTGTTGTTGTTAAAGATAAAGACAATAACTTTAAAAAAGCAATAAGAGGGATTTGATGGTGAGTGCTTTAGCGGACGTTTGAGAGTGAAAGGAGCAGGTCATGTTGTGCAAGTGCTTGTGAGTTTGTGTGTGTTGCTGAGCGTGTCGGGTCACAGGCTCTTGTCTCTCATCGCATTTCTACTGGCCTCTCTGGGGTGCCCAGGGTTCTGCACGTCTTGCTCTCAGATCATGTGACTAGATCAACAAATGATAATATAACAGAGTAAATAAACACTGGGTGCTGACAGACATAAGATGGGACATCAATTTGACCTGCACGAGAGCTCTCTCACACACACACACACACACACACACACACACACACACACACACACACACACACACACACACACACACACACACACTCTCCTGCTTTTCCCCCTTTCTGTACTTTTTAAAAGTGTTTTCATGATTGTGTGTGTGAGAAGGGTGAGCTCATACTTGTGATTTCTTTGTGTGTGTGTGTGTGCGTGTGTGTGTGTGTGTGTGTGTGTGTGATTCATGACATTTTGAGGTTTCTGAAAGTTTATTTCTATTAGGCCCAAAAAGCATAAGGGCAGATGTAACTCTATACAGCTGGCACAGCAGGCGCTCTCTTTCTGTCTCCCTCTGCTGACCCAGTGAGTGACAGCTCTGAGAGAAAGGCGGAAATGAGCTGAGGGCTAAAAAAGTGAAGCCCATTAAAATCAGATTGGACATAAGTATTGGTGTGGGAACACGGTTTTCACTACGGCACCCACCGGCTGACAGGTTTTGCTGAATGTTGGAAAATGCACGTGTGAATTCAAAGTTGATTTAAAGTGCATTTAAAAGAGTGCTTAGTGTTGGGGAAACTTACATCAGACAAATATTCGATTCACTGGCCTTTTTTTATATTTATTTTTTGGTAAAATAGTGACTTAATAGGTGTGGCGTTTGAAACAAGTCTGTTAACAGCTGGGCAATCCCCACAGCTGTGAAATTAACTGCTACTGAAAAATACACACACCGCCACTCACTGCTGTGTAAGAAAACATTGCCCACCAGCCGGATATTAAAGAAACTGTCACTCTTCTCCTAAACTTTCTGCTATTCTTAACTCCTCCGCTCCTTGTATCCACCTTGTTCCTGTTCCAGTGTTCGCTCTTCGCCCGACATCTATCTTATCAATTTTTATTAAACTTGGGAAGAAAATACAGTTTTACAGCAAATGATCACATTCAAACGTGTCTCTTTCGCAAAAGTTTATAACACAAAAAATAAGGAACATGATAGAACAGAGTCAGCAAGTTGGAAGTGACTTACCTTTAAAGGGAACCTTTTATGACTTTATTTTACAAGTATAATTTACACAAAACATGTTCATGAAAGAGTTTTGGCGCAGATACTCACGTAAAGAAATTTCACCAGCTCTATTGACATGTTTAGTATTTTCCATATTCAGCCGTTTCAGTGGTCTTGTCACTTTAAAGCTATACTATACAACATTTTCTTATTTTTAGGTCATTTTCTTGAGTCATTATGTGCTAAAATTACCCTTTACGGTTTAATGAAATGTCACAAATCACCCATCACACCCTGTGGCCAGAATACCACATTTGCAACTTCAGACTGGAGGGTTGCCACCTCTTGAACTTTACAATATGGAGCTGACATACCTGACGCTGCAGTCTGGTTCCTGCATGTTTCCTGCATATTTTAGATCATGAACACAGCTGATTTGTTTCATTTAATGATGATCACTAGCCTAGTGAACTAGACTAAATTCTTGCCTTGCAAAGTTTGGTCTAGGAACACTACATTGCAACCTCTGTGGCCCCTAGCAGCATTCTGGCAAGCCAATCACAGCTCTCTATCGGGGTTTCAAACCGATAGAACATTGTGATTGGTAGGCCATTCACAGTGCTCCATTGGCTTTGTGGGCCAGTCAAGCCGCTCTGTTGGTTTGGCGAGTGGGATGATGCAACGGACTATTTGAACTTGGGCTTTATTAGAATTAGGAGCAGATAGATGTATTTAAGTAGCCTGGCAAGCTAGACTAAATAAATGTATTATTTAGTCTGGCAATGCTCCATTGATGGCTCTTGGTTGTGGGGCGGGTTCTACCATTGTCTTTCACATGATCTCCGCATTCCACTGGACAATGAATGTGACATACTCTTGTTTCACTCTGTTGCATCATCCCACCCACCAGGCATATAGAGTGCCCTGATTTGCCCACAAAGCAGATAAAGCTCTGTGATTTGTTTACTAAGCAGATAGAGCACTATGATTGGCCCACCATTATGGACCAATCACAGCTCTTTATGTG